CCCCGGGACGGGGTGGCCTAAAGATGCAAACAGTTAAGTCTCCGAGCCCCCTCACAGCGGAATGCAGCCTCCGGGCTAGCGGGCGGGCGGCTGTCCCAGAGCGGCTCCTCACCTCGGCCCCGCGCGCCGTGCTCAGCAAAGGTCCCGCTAACAGGGAAGCCGGCACAGCGGCGCAGCCCGCAGCGTCCAGGCCGCGGGGCCGGGGCGCCCGGGGCAGCTCCGGATTGACGCCCGAAACGGCCCAGGGCCCCAACGGAAGTCCCGCCTATGCCGGTCCATCTCCGCCCCATCCGCCCAGGATTTCCTCCCAGTCTGGGGCTTCCAGTACCGGGTCTAGTCCTGCTCCTTCGCCACCAAGTGCGAGAAGTCGTTCTTGTGACGCATTTCTTCAAGGGCGCGGCGTTCAGGGCCCCGATGCAGGAGGGAATACAAAAACCTCTGCCTTTGCTGAGGAGCTGTCTTCCATGCCGCGGCACCATGGTAGAGCCAACTTTTCCTTGCTGCAACTCTCTCCCCCCACTTCCCCATTCTCGAGAGGTAAACTCAGAAGTCATGTCCTAGATACTATCCTTGAAACACCCAGTCTCTGAGGTCATTTTCTGCTTTGCTACTTCAATACCATCTGGCACTTACTGCTATGAACCACTACCTCAGGTAGTGACCCTCTTTTTCTGCATCAGCTATCCCAAAACCTTACCCTGTCGTTACGCACCCTGCCTCTCATCAGAGACTGCCACCCCAGACTTTACCCGTCATCTCCAAGGGAAGCAGTATCTTGGGATACAAAGAACCACCTCCCTCACTGCTCCCCTCCCACACACGTAGGGAGTCCCTACTTGTCTCCCTTTGATCCAAAGAAACTACTTGACTGCAGAGATGGTCATCTTATGCGTTCTCTATGGAGATGACTAAATGAAAAAAATTCTGACATAACAGGACACCCTGGTTTACACACATGGAATCCTTTGACAAACCTAATGCTCCGTCCTTGACTGGAGACTCATGCTGCTAGAACACCATCCGACATACCCCTGCCCAGTGCTACAGTGAGCCATGTTGCTAGCGATAACCCTGTTCCCTGGACTAGGGATCCTTTGCTTTTCCTCCCCACGGGGTCTGGAGGTGGTTTTTGTCTTACTCATATTTGCTAAGTCTGAGTTTTCTGTGTGAGGGCCCACTTGATTGAAGGAAAAGAAACCTGTTCCTATTTCCCCCTTCAGAGCTACGAGCCTGTTTTTGACCAGATCAAAACACCACTGAAGGATTTTAAGTGGGTACTAGTAAAACATGCATTTTATCTAAATGTCTTACTCTGGTTGCAATAAGATGTGATGAGAGAGGTGCCAAAATGTGAGACCAGATTAGAAGGTACTGCAGGTTTATAAGAGATGCTTAAACTGTGTGAAAACAAAGCAAAAAAGAAATTCAAGATACCTTTAGTGATAAAAGTCAGAAATTGGCGATAGATTGAGTGTAAGGGAGAGGAAGGCATCCAGATAATTACTAGGTTCCAGGTTTGGGTAATTGGGTCATTCACTGTGACATGGAATTGAAAGAGGACTAATGGCTCCCTCCTCACCAAAATACTCCGACGACTTTGCTGCCAAACAGCAAAATCAGTAAAGAAGGGATGGGACTTCAAAAAGGGAGGGGCTGATTCAGGAAAGAAAAAGATGGAGTGGAGATGTAAAGAAAGCAGTACCAGAACTGAAACAAAAAACGTAGGATTCCAAAACTTACCTTGAATCATTAATACCTTTGGACGCTGCCCACTCTGCTCACAGAATGTGTTCACAATATCTGACATCTCATGACTTATCAGGGGCCAAGGAAAATTTTAGCAAAAAATAATTCCATTTTGCATGGTATCAAAATTTTATTATTGGTCATAACTTTGAAACTAAGTCAATGAAAAAGTGATTTATTTCACCACAAACATTTTACTTCAGGAGAACATCTCTTTGGTTGAGGTACATCTAGAATAAAAGGTTAGTGACCTGAAAAATATAAATATAAATCACCCAGCGAAGACTTCTGAAACAGTTATTGACCAATTTTACAAATGAAGCAACCAAAACGAGGTCTTAGGAAGTTTAAGTCATCTGATAGAAGGTTCCTGCTTGGCGTATTAGAAATATCCTGCCTCCTACTCTTTTTACTCAAATATACTGCTTTTTTTGAAGTGACTTTATGAGTATATACACATACACACAAGTGATTACATATGCCTAAAGAGCACAGATCATCTTGCCTACTCTATCTAAAGCAGGGATTTAAAAAACACACTTTTTAACCATGTTTTTTGAAAACTTAGGGTTTTATGGAGGTGCCTTAGGAAGCTTGACAAGAATTAAGGTGGAGGCTGAACAATGGGCCTTTGGGCCCCATCCCTGCTTCAACTAAAAATCAATAGTCCTGCTAACATCTGTTTTAGATATTGGAGTATTAGTTATTATTCCTTTGAAAGCCTGGTTCTGCTGTTAATCGAAGTTTGAAAACTATTGTACTTAAGGATTAGGATATAAACTTGGTTAATATTAACAGACTACAGCCCTAGCAGGGTGGCTGGGTTGGAGCATCATCCTGTACACCAAAAGGTTGTGGGTTCAATTCCTGGTCAGGGCACAAACCTAGGTTGTGGGTTCCATCCCCAGTCGGGGTGTGTTCGGGAGGCCACTGATATTTCTCTTTTCCCCTCCCTCTAAAATCAATAAACATATCCTAGGGTGAGGATTAAAAAAAACTTAAAAATATTTAGAGCCAAGATCCTTCATGACAGGTTAGAGGTATACAGATGCAGGGTCAGAATACATAGGACCATAAACATCTTGGATATTTGGAGGCCAGAACGATCACAAATTGGTAATTCTGAGAATGGCTAAGGAGGGTGTGGGCAGGCTAAAATAAGGTACTATGGTTACTAAATCACAACTGCTCTGGGGAAACCAGGGTTAACCTGCAGAAGCTTGCAGACCTCCCTTCAGGCACATTAAAGTTAGAAATGTGTAAGCTGCCTCCAGAGACGAAATACTTTGATGTTCAGTGCTTCACTTTCCCCAGAACTGCTTTGCTCCAGAATACTATGATCCTGCCCTGCTGTGACTGCTTCCCAATGGAGTGTGAACTTGGGCAGTACCTGACACTAAATGAGCATGAAGGTGTGTTGTAATGTTTTACATGAAAATGGCATCAGGGCAGTCTCTCTTTCTTTTTAAAATTTTGTATGGCTCATAGCTGGTGGAAAATGGGAGTGCCCTCAATTAACTGAATCTTTTGAATATGGTCAGTGGCTTACACTCAGACTCATGAATGAGCTCTTTGTAAGGCCAAAAGAACATTGTCTCTAAGTGCCAAATGTGTTACCCACATGAACCAAATAATCAACTACAAATCCCTGATACTTTTCTTTGGTTCAGCTACAAGCCCAGGGCCCAGAGATAATTCATCTCTAACTCAGGGATGGCCAACAGGCATCCAATACTTGCTCCAAAGTTTTAGAAGTAAATTATATCATAGAATAAAAGTTGCTCATGAGTCTTCTTGATCTACATCAGTGATTCAATTCATTAAAGAAAAAATGGATTGTGAATGTTTACTTTCATTAAATCTGTGCTTAGTGATTTTACAGAAAAGAACATATATAAGAAGTGTTAAGCACAAATGAGATTAATTTTGTTAACACTTGACAGGTATACACTAAGGTACAAAAACAAGTACTTGACTTGGAAATTTTGCTTTATTTACAAATGTCCCATTATAAACAAAGATACCATTCCACCCCCTTTAAAATATTATAACCTTTAATTTCCAGAAAAAGCATTTACATAGTTTTAATCTTCCTGCATAAAACTGTAAAATGGGATAAGTAAAATATAGAATGGTCTAAGGCATCAAAACAAAACTTATCCAGCATGAATGTCCTAGTGACAGATGGAAAGAATTAAGAATCACTCTCCTTAATATACTACTCCAAGAACTGCAAACATGGATAGTTTTGGGACAGGTAAATGCTTCACAATAAAGTCTTCTTACATAGATAAGTCTTCTTACATAGTATACTTTATAATTGTGATTGTTTAGGATTGCTCTTGCAGGTTACTATTTATGCTGATTTCAAAAAATAAGTCATCATTGTAAAAAGGGCATAGACTTTTCTACTCAGATTTTTCTACCAATGAAAATATGTAGATACTGACTTGGTCTCATCATTCAGACCAATTACTAAAATAAGAAATGCACGAAAAGAGATTAAAACAAAAACTCAATCACCATGTGACTATCTGACTTAGAAAATTATAATTCTCCCTAAAGTCAGATTGTATTGCTCCTCGATAGATACCATAAATTTGGATTTTTCATAGCTGACAATATAGACAAAATATTTAACCAAAGAGTTCAAAATAAAATCATCCCAATTACCTATTTATCATTTTATATGTAGTAATTACTTTTTTAAATCCTTTAAACTTTATCTAGGAGGATATATAATCACTCTCTGAGCATCATAGCTAAGTCACAAGGAACTTCAAAAGCAAAAAAAATTCATCCCTGAGAAGTGAGACAAAAAGCTCTAAAAACACAGAAGTAACAGTCCTGCACCCTTTGAACAATCTTTACCATAGCACAAACTTTTATTAACAGTCAGCAATCAAATGTATTCCAATCCTGGATAGTTACTGCCTCTGATGATCTGATCTTTTTGTAATAAAACTATAAGTGCAGCATTTTAAAAAATCAGATGAATAGGGACTCTAGTTTTATTATCACGTTTACATTTTTGTCAAGTCCAAAGACAGCCAGCTAAGATACGTATATTCCAATAATGACCAAAGTAATAACTTCTGCTGGCAACTCTTCTTCTGAATTTCCATTTCTCCCATTGATCTTCACCCAAATAGTAAAAGTAATACAATTGCAATTGAGTTTACTATTATCAATGGCACTGCAAAAAAAAAAAAAAAAGTTGTTACTATAAAGAAAATTATCAGAAAACTAAGCCATAATTACTAGCATCCAGGAAGGTTGGTAATACCTAACAATATGTCATCATAATCATGTTGCAAATACTTATAACAGGAATATTCAAACATGCACTGGATCATAAAATCCAAAGCTTAATTTAAAGAGGGCTTGTGTGACGGGGAAAACGGTCACATTGACACAACTAGATTAATATGAAAACATCTGTAGATTGTATTGGTGCAGCTCTGGGAACACAGAAGCACACTGGACCCAGGCAGAAATAGACCCATATGGCTACCAGTGAAACTTGACATTAGAAATCGAATGCAAAGGTGATTCAGTAGTTTAATCACCAAATTAAGAATTAACTTACCATTCTACTCAAAGTTGTGATTAAAGCAGCTAAGAAAAGAGGGAGACAGAGAGACCCTGGTTTTTGTTTGTTTTTTTTAATATATCTTTATTGATTTCAGAGAGAGGAAGGGAGGGGGGAGAGAGATAGAGACATCAATGATGAGAGAGTGGGGATTGACTGCGGATTGAGCCAGAAACCCGGGCATGTGCCCCAACGGGAATCCAACTGTGATATCCTGGATCCTAGGTCGATGCTCAACCGCTGAGCCACGCCCGCCAGGAAGAGAGGCCCTGGCTTTAATGGTTTTCAGTAAAAGGTTCTGAACTCTACTGAGTTACTCTAAAGTCTTTTCTAAGAGAACAGCAAATACGGGACCTTTATTTTTCTCTTGAAAACTCTATAGAACTCTAGATAACTTTACTACTTGGAAGCAACAGGATTTCCAAAAGGCAAGGATATCATTGTCTTTCAACTCTGAGAGGTAACATAAAAACAGATGACACCACTGAGCATTCCATTTGCAACTGGCTTAGAAATAAGAGGCAAACTAAGAAAGAAACCAATAATTTTTAAGCAATAAAGCCAGGTTAAAGAGAAAAAAATTTCCCGCTGCAAAGATGGTATGTGATAGTATTCACACCCAGAAGCTTTGCTACTCAAATCAAGCTACAAAATTAAAACTTAAGAGTGTTCCACTAGTTTTTTGTCTTACCTCTCATTACGGTTCTTACAGATCGAATAAGGTTCATTAGCTGAGATTTAATTCCTGGCTCCTCTCCGAATCCGCCAATTCCCTGGTCTGTTCCCCAGCCAACTGCATAATATAAAAATGATTAGCTGTGTTAAAATTTATTATGTCCTTGTCTTGCTCTCTCATTAGTCATTTTCTAAGAGATTATCAAGCCTTTGTTAAAGACATAAAATATAAAGTCATACAACTTAAAAGTAAAAACACTAGTAAGTGAAATACTTTACAGTATGTTTTTTACTTTTGATAAGCAACAAAAACTCAATTCATTTCCACTTTGGTTTTATAAAATTAACTAAAATCTAATAAATTATTCCATGGCATTTAATTCGGTAAAGATGACCACTGTAACACCCTGATTGATTATTTTACTCCTTTTTTAAATTAACAAAATATTTTTCAAGTCAGGACTGAACAAGCAACGTCAAGCTGAATAATTAATTAGCTCAATTCGGAATTTATAAAACCCAACGTTAACTATCAGTATAATAACAACACTGTAACAGATTCACTATCTACATTACACGGGGGAAATTTTAACCTAAACTTGGCCACAGCTTGGTGAGGCCTGCAGAGCATGTTCTGTCACGCCAGCAGGGGCACATCTTTTCCCCCCTTGACCATTCTTCATTTCTGTCCTGAGGTGAGGAATTTAGCTCACTATCCCACTTATTTTCTGTAAATGAGTCTTTTACCTTCTACATCCTTTCCTGATATTATAAATCATTATTTCTTTACCTTTACCTGCTAGTTCTTTTTTTATTACCTGATACATTCTTCTAAAGACTTACATGTCCTCATTTCTACAATGTGTCCTTCTCTTGTCCTCATTTCAGGTTCACCTGTGGTATCTCATATGACTACATTTTTTTTTTAAATCTCAAATGACTTAATTAATTCCTGACATGTTAACCCTTAAACTTGAAGATAGAGAACAAGTCTTTATTTTATACATGAAAGAACCAAGTATCATGAAACAAGATTTCACTTTGCTTAATGATATTTTGTTTTGGCAACTCCAGCTGACTAATAGTTTCATGTTTCTTTTAAATTACTCATAATTACTATTGGATATAATAAATACTTGTCTGATTTTTTTAAACTGTGTGGTTTTAAAAAATAAAGCTATTTTTAAAAACCACATATAATTCACACATTTCGAGTATACAATTCAGTGGTTTAAATATAAGCTGTCCCAAAAAAATGTATACACACACTTTGAATAATTATAAAGGCAGTGTTTATTAAAATACATTTCATTTTCAAAATTGAGCTATTAGCTGTTAAAGTGTATATACATTTTTGGGGATACCTGTATGGTTCTCAGAGTTATACAACCATCACCATACTCAATTTTAGAACATTTTCATGACCCCCAAAAGAAACCCTGTACCCATTAGCAACCACTTCCCATCCTCTCAGACGCCTCCAGCACTAAGCAACCACTAATCTGCATTCTGTTTCTATATTTCCTATCCTGGACATTTCATACAAATGGAATGATATGTGATCTTTTATGACTATCTACTTTCACTTAGCATAATGATCTTAAGGTTCAGCCATGTAGCACATATCAATATTTCATTTTTTTATTAATAACATTACAGTGTGGATATACTACATATTATAGCCACCTATTCATCAGTTGATGGACATTTGGGTTGTTTCCACTTTTTAGCTATTATACCCAACAATGTATAATGGTTACAATTTCTCCACAACCTTACCAACATATTACTCTTTTTTATTACATTCATCCTAGTTGGTATAAAGTATATCTCATTATGGTTTTGATTTGCATTTCTCTAATAATCAATAATCTTGACCATCACCCAGCCGGTGTGGCTCAGTGGTTGAGCATCGACCCATGAACCAAGAGGTCACTGGTTCGATTCCCCATCAGGGTACTTGCCCAGGTTTCGGGCCCAATCCCCAGTAGAGGGTGTGCAGGAGGCAGCCAATGGCTATTTCTCTCTTAGTGACGTTTCTCTCTCTATCCCTCTCCCTTCCTCTCTCTAATAAATAAATAAGTAAATAAACAAACACAAAAGGAATCATGATATGTGATCTTTCATGACTAGCTTCTTTCACTTAGCATAATTTGACTATCAGATAACCGTTCCAAATTTTTAATGTGTGCACTGGATTATTCATCCTTTATTATTGAGTTGTAACAGTTCTCTATACACTCTGAATAGCAGTCCCTTATCATATATATGATTTGCAAATATTTTTTCCCATTCTGTGGTTGTCTTTTTATGTTCTTGATGGTGTCCTTTAAAGACACAAAAAGTTTTTAATTTTGATGAAGCCCATTGTATTTTTTCTTTGGCTCTTCTGCTTTGGTGTTGTATCCAGGAAGGCTTTGTCTAATCCAAAGTCACAAAGCTTTATGCCTATATTTTCTTTTAAGAGTTGTATAGCTTTAGGTTTTACAGCTTATAAGTCTATGGTCTTGAGTTAATTTTTGTGTTTAGTATGAAGCAGAAAGATTCAACTTCATTCTTTATTCTATGGATATGCAGCTGTTCCAGCACCAGTTGTTGAAAGATTATTCTTAACCCATTGCATTGTTTTGGCTCCCATCAAAAATCAATTGACCATAAACATAAGGGTTTATTTCTGGACTCTCAAGTCTGCTCCATTGGTCTACATGTCCGTCCTATGCCAATATCACACTGTTTTGATAGCTGTAACTTTGTAGTAAATTTTGAAATCTCAAAGTGTGAGTCATCTGCTCTTCTCCTTCAAGATTTTTTTGGCTATTCTCAGTCCCTTTCATTTTCTTTAGAATCTATTTGTCAGTTTCTGCAGAAAAAAACCAACTGGGATTTTGATAAACATTGCATTATATCTGTAAATCAATAATATTGTTTGGTATCATCTTAGCAACATTAACTCTTCTGATCCATGAACAGAGGATGTTATTTTCTTTAATTATCTTTAAAAAAATTCATTCTTTAATTTCATTCAACAATGCCTTGTAGTTTTCACAGCATAAGACTCACACTTCTTTTAAATTTACTCCTAAGTAATTCTTTTTGATATTATAAAATAAAATGGTTTAATTTCATTTTTTGATTGTTCATGTATAGAAAAATAATTGATTTCTGTTACTGATCTTGTATCTTGCAACCTTACTGACCCATTTATTAGTTTTAATAGTTTTGGTAACTCCTTAGGATTTCCTATACAAGATTATGTCATCTGCAAACAAGAGATAGTTTTACTTTTTTAACCTCACAATCTGGATGTCTTTATTTCTTTTTCTCTCATCAAACTGCCCTGGCTAGAATCTCTGGTACGATGTTAGAAGTGGCAAGAGAGGGCATCTTTTCTTATTCCTAACTGGGGAAAGCACTCAGTTTTTCACCATTAAGTATAATGTCAACTGGGGGTTGGGGTATTTGTGTGCATGTTTCCTAGATACTCTTTATCAGACTGAATAAGTTCCCACCTATTTCTGGTTTACTGAAAGTTTTTGTCATGAAAGGGTACTGGAACTCAATGAACGTTTTTGCTGTGTCTACGATGATAATCATGTAATTTATTTATTTTACTAATATGATGTATTACATCAATTGATTCTTGAATGTTAAACCAACCCTGGATTGCCTGGGGAAATCCTATTTGATTTAGTTTGCCAGTATTTTGTTAAAAATTTATATCTATATTCATAAAAGATACTGGCCTGTAGTTTCTTTTCTTGTAATGTCTCTGTCTGGTTTTCATATCAGATTAATACTAGCCTCATGACATGAGTTGGGAAGTGCTACCTCCTATTTTTTGGAAGAGTTTATGAAAAATTGGTATTAAGCTTTTACATGTTTAGTAGAATCCAGCATTGAAGCCTGGGCTTTTCTTCATTGGAAGTTTTGAAATTACTAACTCAATTTCTTTATATGTTATAGGTCTAATCAGATTTTTTATTTTTTCTTATGTGAGTGTTATAAGCTGTATCTTTCCAGGAATCTGTCTATTTCATCTAAGTCATCTAATATGTTGGCATACAATTGTTCACAGTATTCCCTTTAATCCTCTTCATTTCTCTAAGGTCATTAGTGATGTCACCCTGTTTCATTACGGATTTTTGTAATTTGAGTCTTCTTTCCTTTTTTTTGGTTTTGTTCTTTCTCTCCATTGTGTATTTCATTAATTTTTAATTTTCAATGTGATCTTTCTTATTTCCTTCCTTTTGCTTTTTTTTTTTTTTTTTTTTTGGGGGGGGGGGGG